ACCTCCTGAGCACATAGCAGAGCTTCAGAGGGAGAGGTGGGAGCAGCCAGAAGGGCAGGAACCCTTGAGCGAGCGAGACTTGGGAGCCGGGTTGCTAGCTGAGCTCCCAGCTGAGGACCTCCCCACAGGCCCTTCAGAGCGGAGACGCGTGGGCCGCAGCTCCAAGCAGCTGGCCAGTGTCCCCGAGGGGGAGCCCGAGGCTGGGGCCCTGCGGGGCCGAGGCCAGTGGCTGCAGGTGCTGGAAGGCAACTTCTCGCACCTGGACATCAGCCTCTGTGTGGTGCTCTACTCCCTGTCCTTCATGGGCCTGCTGGCCATGTACACCTACTTCCGGGCCAGGATGAGGGCCCTGAAGGGCCATGCCAGCCACCCCGCAGCCTGAACCGTCCAGCTGGGGAGGGTGGCAGGAAAGGGAGCTGCTGCTACCCATGGGCTCTCCCAGCCCCCTGCCCCCCTCCCCGCCTTGCTCTTTGTCCGGGGAAACCCAGGAAAACCAGTTGCTCCAGTGAACCCTCCTTGGTCCTTGTGGGAAAGGATGTTCCAGAGACATGAAGACATGCTCGGGTCCAGGCTCCTCAGACAGCGCAGGGGTGGGGCAGCCCCGGGCAGGGAGGGTGGGAGCTCCGTCCAGGGCTTCTCAGCACCCAATTCCTCTCTTGCAGCTTATCTGAAGCCCCGCCTCCTTCTTGCTGACGCTCCAATATCTCCTGCTTGGTCTTGGCCCTAAATTGGGGCAAGTGAGCCACAGCTTCCAAGGCTTCCCATCGGAGGAGGGTCCCCGGGGGGCTCCGTGGGCTGGAGCAGAACTCCTCCCCACACCCCAAGGCCCCACCCATCCCGCTCCCTTCCGGATACAGAGGCCTTCGCACCAGAGAAGGAAGGACCGCCTCTGGCCCTGGTGGCCTGCCCAGCCTCCGGCCCCTCAGACCTCCTGGCTGGGGGGCGGCTTTAGCGTAGGGACTGGAAGCTTGAGGTCATGCTGACCTCCCAGGTGACATTTGTCGGGAGGACGCCTGGGACTGGTCCTTCCCAAGCCTCTGCTACGGGGAGCATACAGGCTGGGGCTGGCATGGGCTTGCTCCGCTGGGTGGGTGATGGCCGCTGGGCTGGGTGAGTGGCTGGCTTAGCGGGACCTGCACGAAGGGCAGCGTGGGACTGAGGTTGGGGTGTTGGGACCTACCGTGCCTTACTCGGGGCCGAGCTGGGAGAGGTGGAGTGAAGAAGCAGGAAAACGTTGCTTTACATGTGCTCTGGCTCTTCCCCCTTCAGCGCACCTATCTGGGAGCTGGACCTCGCTTGATTTCGATTTTCAAAATAGATGCTAATCTTTGAGTGTGGAGGGTGCTGGAGTGAGAGGAGTATCGCCTCTCGGGGGCCACCTCCCGTCTTGTAGAGGTGAGCGGGTCAGAGGGGCGGGTGGCGCTGTACATAGACATGCTTGATTCTCACTCTGCCCACTGCTGGCGAGGGCTGTGGAATAAATTATTTTTGTTAAGGCAAGCACCCCTGTGTCCTGTAACTTGCTACTTGGAGGCCTAGTGTCCAGGTCTGGACAGACTGTGCAAAACTCTGTCCTGAGAGATCCAGCAAGACGTGAGTCCCCCCTGGCTCACAGAGCTGCCGGCCTGCAGGGGACCCGGTGCCCATCACAGCCCCTTCCTCCTCCAGGGGCCCTCCCCGACTGCCCACAGAGCTCTGGGTGCTCCGGGCCCAGCGTCTCCCAGAGCAGCAGGCAGGCCCCGGTGGAGGTGCAGTCCCACCCCCTGCACCCCCATCATCCCCGGAACACCTGCCCAGGTGCTCTCAGTTCTGCTGGAGGCACCTTCGTCTGCACCTGCCTGGCTCTCCGGCACCCTGCTCTCCAGCTCCCTCGGAAGGAGGGGGGCCCTGGGCTGGCGGTTCAGCCCGGAGGAGTCAGCCGGATTAGAGGGCCTGCCCCTAATCCGTCCTGCCGGGTTTTACAAGGATCAGAGCAGCTGATAATGAACCTCATTAAGAGGGAGCAGGAGCCTCAATCCGATTTGGGGTTTTCTCTTTGACATCACTTTGCTCAGATGGAGGGGGTGGGGTTCCAAGCATGCCCCTTCTGCTAGGGCAGCTGGGGTGGGGGTGGGGGACAGTTGGGGTCACCCCCAATCCCCTGCTGTGTCCACCCTGTGTTACCTCGGGTGGATCCCAGCCTGGAGCTGCTCCTCTGTCCGAGGTTCCCTGTCTGTGTCCCTGCTCTAGGCATCCCCCGGCCCGCTCCCTCCTCCTGGACCAGCTTGCTCACCTCCCCCAGCCACAGGCCCTGGCTGGCAGGCCGAGAGCCTGCCCGGCCAGCACAGTGTCGGCAAGGTGGCCCTGGCCCCGGGGTGAAAGAGGCTGGCACGGGCCGGACTACTTGAGCACACCTGTTCCCACCACCACCTGGTGCTGCCCCAGTGCCAAGGCATCGCCTCCCATGCGCCAGCCCTTAGATAAGGCTCCAGGGACCGCGTTTCTAAACCAAGCT